GGGGACACAGCCGCCTCCAGCAGCCCCAGAACCTGTGGAACAAAACCAGACCCGCAGCATTGTTTATTTTATTTTTTTTTTATAATTATAATCCAAATTGTAACACAGCCGTAAAATGCCCCTAACAATACGGAATAGGAAATGTGTATGTTCCCATAGCATCTGCCTCAGGAATCAGAATGCAATCATACAAAAATAGAAAATAGGGTAATTTTATACATATATTATATATATGATATTTATATAAAGGCAATAGCTTCTTGGTGTCAGAGATGTGATGGTATTTACAGAAGTGACAACACACAAAATGAGAGAAGTAAAAATAAATACAGACGGTGTCAACAGAGTGGGGGGGTGGGAGATGAGGGCTAGGGCTGTGTGGCTGAGGGGGAGCCAGGCTGGGGGTCCCTGGGAGGGCAGCAGGGCTGCCACCCTCCTCCTGATCCCCTCTCCCAAGCCGTGCTCCCCACTGCCTCCGGCACTGCACGGTGGCTGCGTCCAGCACCAGCCCTGGAAATGCGTCGGGGTGTCTGGACCTCCTTTGCCCCCAGCTGCTTTAAAGCACTTTTGGCAGGGGGGCATGCAGAGGGCTCTGGGAGGTGGGCATTGGGCTAGGCAGACCTGGGAGGATGGTCAAGCCCCTCAGCAGGGGGTGCCAAGGCCCGTGGTGGGCAGTGCTGCCCCACCACCATCGCACCTCCAGGTGCCAACGGCTCCTCCGAGGGTGGGTGGGAGTCTGGTCTGAATGGGCCCGGGAAAACCTAAACTGAAATCCATTTTAACATACACATGCTAAAACTTCAGGAGAAAATAACATACATATATATATGCATATATATAGATAAAAAAATATATATCTCTCTGTCTCCAATCCAATGCAGCGCCGTGTTGCCTTTCCTGCTGCTGGCAGCTGGGGCTGAGCCCCTCTGGGGAAGGCGAGCGCACCGATTCCCTCCAGACCTCAGGGTCCTGGCCAGAAACGTCAGCAGAGTACTGAGAATCCAATCCAAAAATAAATAGGCCCAGGGCTGCCGGCCAAGGACACATGGGGGAGCCCAAGGCGCAGCAGCACGGACACCCCCTCAGCACCGGCTGCGGC